TCTTTCTCTCTCCTCTCCTCCTTTCCTCCTCCTCTTTCTCTCTCCTCTCCTCCTCTCCTCTTCTCTTTCTCTCTCCTCACCTCCTCTTTCACCGCAACCCATACGCAACCCGTCACTCACCGAAGCTTTAACACCCATAAACGGCTCCTGATTTCCCGACGAATTTTCAGGGGACGACTGAGGTTCAGTGTCGAAACGAGGCTTAGAATCGTTGAGCTGGACTCGGTTTCATCAACAACAACCTAAACATCAATTGTCGATCTTGTAATTTAGGTTTGTGTTTAGGTTTTTTTTTTTTTTTTTTTTTTTTTTTTTTTTTTTTTTTTTGAAACATAGATCTAGTTAATTGTATATGTAATTGTAATGTTAATTTATAAAATTTATTAGACAATTATATATTTATACATTTCTATTAATTTTCCTTGTTTAAGGTTGGTTTTTTGAATTTTTTGGGATTTTTTTTAGGGTTATTTCCGATTTTTTGGGGTTAATGGTGGTGGTGTGATGGTGTTGGTGGTGGTGGGGTGGTCTATTGTGGTGGTGTCGGTGGTTATGGGGTGGGGTTGTGGTGGTGTTGGTTTGGTTTGGTGTGGGTGGGCTGTTGTGGTGGTGTCAGTGGTTATGGGGTGGGGTTGTGGTGGTGTCAATTTGGTTTGGTGTGGGTGGGCTATTGTGGTGGTGTTGGGATGGGGTTGTGGTGGTGTCGATTTGGTTTGGTATTGGGGTGGGAATGTGGTGGTGTCGGTGGTGTTAAGGGTCTGGGGTATGGGGGTATGGGTGGGCTGGTGGTGGGGGTGGTTGGTGGGTTTTTTTTTTTTTCTATTAAATTTTCCGACAGAAATTTCTGTCGGAAGCTAGTATATTCCGACAGAAAATTCCGTCGGAAGCTTGGCCTGTTGCGACGGAATTTTCTGTCGGAAACTTGCGACGGACATCCCAATTAAGTCAAACTTGACTCTGACAGAATAAAATCCGTCGAAAATTCCGACGGAATTTCCCTCGGAATATCGCGAAATTCCTACAAAGTGTAATGCGACGGTGCTTTCCGACGGAATTTCAGGGTTTTTTCGACGGATTTTTTCCGTCGTGATTGACTGTTTTCTAATAGTGTGTCTAATTTTATTGTACAATTAATATAAAGCCATATATTACGTAATATTTCAAAGTGTAACAAACTTTTTTATTTATTTATTTTTTATCTAAGCCATATGTTACGTCATGTTATCTCAAAACGACCTTTGTTTTTATATATATAATTATCAAAAGTATTTTTTTTAATGATATAAGAGCGCTATTTGTGGGTAAATTTTCTTTTTTGACAACTGAAAGAAGATTAAGATAACCAATTTATCTCTTATATTGTAACAAACTTTTTTACAAGATAACAAAAAAATAAAATAAAGAAAATTGTAAAAAAAAAATAACAAAAATTTTGGGCGGGAAATTTTTTTTACTAAGAGGATGACACGTGTATTAGGGGATAATGTTGGGGATTACTTTAGTATATAGGTATTGATCCCCTTTGTCAAATTTGATTGAAATTCAAAATTAAATTCATTTATTTAGTTGTGCTTTTAACACTACAAGTTAACAACGCATAATGAACTTATTAAGACTCGTTTAGTTCACCTTTTTTTTGCTTATCTAATCTGATCTGGTCTTATTTGATCTGGTTTAGTATGATCTGATTTGATTGTCTGATTTGACCAAACTTTGACCTTATGTGTACGATAATCTATAAAGAAGAAATTTATCAAGTGGATCTTGTTAGATTCGTATTAATGTGTATTTTATTAACATGTAATTTTTATAATTTTTTTCATTACGTAATTAAAGATATTTAGCGATAAAAACCGCAAGTAAAACGATGATCCGATCTAAACCTATTTTTCTGAACTAAGTAGAGGTGATAAAAAAAACGGGTCGGGTCGGGTCAGGCCTTAACATCATATCTCATGCCCAAACCCGCAAAAAGCAACAGGCTTGTTGGGCCAAAATGGGTTTTCCGGGCTTTTTTCGGGACGGTTTTGGGTTTTTAACTGAAAATGTGCACTTTTAGGCTTGTCCAAACCGGCCCTATTTTTTGACTGAGCTGTACTTGATCACATCTAGAAATAAGTAAAGATAAGTTAAACTAAACAAGGCCTTAGGCTCTACTCTCTTCCTTATTCTAACTAGTTTTATATGCACGTGAGAAAAGAATAGGATACAGAGTACGAATATTCGCAGACTTTGCAATTGTGTACTCCATAACAAATTGTGTCATCTTCACCATCCTTTAAAAAAAAAATAATAATTATCTTTGCATCTTTAGTTTTAGTTATCTAATTTTTACTTATTAAACTTATATATACTCCCCAAAATAAATAAATAAAAAAAATTTATATATACTCCGTAGCACATGAATTAAGATAACTCTAAAGCCTTATCAAAACAATCTTATTTAGCCTAAATTCAAATAAATGAAAATAAAGAAGATAAAATTTTCAATTAGGATCAGTTCACTTCACCTTATTTTTATTGAACTGAAATCATACTTAATAAAGTTAAATTATTTTTACCGAACGAACTAAACTTATTTTACCTAAATTGAAATTTTATTTTTTAAAGTGAAATGAACATGACATTAGAGTAAATAATTAGGTGAATTATTGTGTACTGTTATACATCAGCATTGCGTACTTGAATACGAAGAATTCAGAATAAGACAGAAGCAATGAAGGATAGAATTTCCCCACGTATACTCCTACCATATCTGCCACATTTTTCATTGTTCTTCTCTCATTCAAATTCATACAGTACTACATAATTGACTTTTATATTTCAATTAATTTAATCTACATCCTGTTCACATTTGCGGAAATTAATTACTCCTTCCATTATCTTTAGTGCAATATACCCTCTATTTTTTAACTAGTTCTTTATTAACACTTTTTGCATATATGAGTTTAGGTTGGATTATAAGTTTGAGCTCCTTTAGGCAATTTCGAAGGATCCCCTGTTTTATTGGAGGACTAAGCTATATAGCGTGGGCTCGTGGCTAAGGATGATGCTGGGAGAGTAGTCTAGTTTATTTTTGTTTACTTTGTCTTTATTTTCTGTTTGTTTGTTGGTGTTGCTTTTTTTTTTTTTTATTCGTTGTGTTTGTAGTTTAGTGGTCTTTGTTCTTTTGTTTTTTGGCCTTTGCCCTCTCGTTCACAAAAAAAAAAGAAAAAAAAAAACAAACAAACAGTTTTTACTGTATTTATTTGACTTACTTTGACTTATGTTTGTGATTTATATGGTTGAAATCGTCTTAATAAATAGATTATTAATTCCCTCCCACATCACTTACTTTTTAATACGAAGTAAAATATTAGCTCAACTATGTGCCGATGGAAGTGTAATACTTAAAAAATCATAAAGAGTAAATTGTTAGCTAAATTTTTTTTAAAGATGAAAATTGTTTAAACTTTCCTAATTTCTTACGGAGTACTCCGTTTTTCTTTCCCCCTAGTCCTCGCGACTCCAAGGTCTCCAACCATGTTCCTCTCTTATTTTTATTACTCTCAATTAGCACTGTCAAATTTCAAACCAAAACCGTTTAATTAACTGTCCGAAACCAACCGACCCAAATGAGAACCGATCCAATTAAAAACCGATTATTTGAAACCAAAAACCGACCCAAATCATATTTTAGTTAACTCGAAAATCGAACCGATCCAAATAATGTTAAATCGTATAAGAACAGAACTCGTTAACGAATCTAACCAGTTTTAAACTGAACTGAAATAGAAACGAATCGAAAAAAGAACCGAATCGTTGTTAACCCGAACCGTTTCTAACCCGAAAGAGTTTGAACCGTGTTAAAAATTGTTTACACTGAACCGTTTACAAAGCGAACCGCTTATAAACCAAACCGTTTACAAACCACTTACTATTATAAATTGGTAGTTTCAGTAGAATTAATCTTGTCAGCTTAATATGAACGTATAAACTATAAGGGGAAGATTAAAATCACGTTACAAGAAATTTTAAATGAAATCTAATTATGCAAACATATTTACTACAGATTACATTATTACTAGAGTATCAGTTAAGTTAGTTCATTATTGTTAATTTATTTTATGCATAACTAATTTTAAACTATGTAGTTATCATTACTTCATTAGAACATCTGCTGTACTTTTTTTTTTTTGAGGAATCATCATTAGAACCGATAATAATTTGAACCAAATTGAAACCGATTCGTAGGTCACTTGAACTGATTTCAAACCGAACTAGTTTTAAATCGAAACTAAAACCGAAACCGAACTGTCAAATCATTTTGATAGTGCTACTCTCAATATTCTCTTTTATTTGAATTAAACTATATCACGTAAGAACTTGTTAAATTTGATTTGAATTGGGGAGTATTATTTTCTCATCACATATTTTAAAAGGCCCGTTCACTTCACCTTATTTTTGCAGAACTAAAATCATTTTTACTAAACTGAAATTATTTTTACTGAACTTAAAATTATTTTTACTGAAATGAAATTAACTTTACTGAACTAAGATTATTTTTGCTGAATTAAAATTGTGGCGTTTAGTTCACAAAGATGGTTCTCTGTTGAGTCGGGTTATGAAAGCAAAATATTACCCAAACGGTTCTTTCTTGGATTCATATTTGGGATATGGTAGTAGTTACTCTTGGAGGAGTATTTTGAGTTCGAAAGCACTACTCAAAGAAGGTATTATATGGCGCATTGGTAACGGCTTGAATGTGAGCATATGGCATGACCTTGGCTTGCTGATGCTGAGGGTCGTTTTGTTACCAGCCCGACTGTCGAAGGCATGAGTCAGGTATGTCAGCTAATAGACTTTAATCGTATGGAGTGGAATGTTGACCTCATTACTTCAATTTTTAATGAGCGGGATCAGCGTTGCATTTTGTCCATTCCTCTAAGCTGTAGAGGCCCCTGTGATGTTCTTACATGGGCATTCTCTAAGGATGGATTATATACGGCAAAAACGCGTATATGTTGGGGAAGGGGTGTAACTTTGATGCATTTCACTTGGCTTGGGTGGAAATATGGGGCTTGGAAGTATCCCCAAAGGTAAGACATTTCCTTTGGCGTTTATGTACAAGTACTCTGCCAACAAGAGCACTCTTGAAAGCTCGTCACGTGATTGATAATGCCGTATGTTCGTGGTGTGGTAAGGAGGAAGAGACTAGCTCTCACATTCTATTTGACTGTGAAAGGTCTAGGGAGCTGTGGGAGGATAGTGGATGTGCGAGTTTGATTGAAGACATAAGTGGGACAATGTGCGACATGGTTGTGCGTTGGAAGGCTACGAATGTGAAGAAACAACAGCGGGCTGCCAACTTAATTTGGCTCCTTTGGGCTCAGCGTAACCTTTGGGTTTTTGATGGCAAAGCTACTCCAAATGGCTTGCTTCTCTCTCGGCTGGATAGGTTGAGTGAGGAATATGGAAAATACAACAGCATGATTTACAAGCCGATGCAGCCCTGAAGAAAAAAGAGTGCCTCGAAATGGGTAGCTCCCCCCACTGGCTTAATCAAAGTGAATGCCGATGCGTGTTTGGCCAGTGAGGGTTGGGTGGGGCTAGGAGTGGTGGCAAGGAATCACAAAGGAGAGGTTCTCTTCTCTGCGGTTAGACGAGTGAGAGCCCAATGGCCTGTGGAAGTGGCGGAAGGTAGAGCGCTGCTGTTCGCTTTCAAGCTTGCTAGAAGGTATGGGTACGAGGATATGGTGCTAGAGTCCGATTGCCAGGTGCTGATAAACAGGCTATCAAATGCTGCAGTTTACTTCTCAGAGTTCGATATAGTGCTTGAGCCTTGAGGATATCCTTTCTGTTAGTTGTGCATTGAATTACTTTGCTTGGTCACACGTTAAAAGAGAGGGCTACTTTTGTAGCCCATCATCTAGCCAAGCTAGTGTCCTTTGGGGACGAGCAAATTTGGATAAATTATTATCCTTCGATAATTTCCCCCTATGTACTTTCGAATACTTTAGCTACTGATTAATAATATTATTTGACGGTTTTCAAAAATATATATATAATATTATTTTTTTTTAATTTTTTTTAGGTAAAGTGAATATGGCCAAAACTCTTAAAAGTCAATCTAGCCAAATTATTGTACTTTTAAGAGTGATTGATTTCTTTCCATACTTTATACAGTATTTCGTATTTGTATGATATCTTCCAATTTATTACAGTTCACACTATAAATATCATCCATACTCATTCTATATATTTCGATGCTTCGTTCTTCTATTTTCTCTCTCTTCAGACAAAGATCAATACCAATTTCTCTGGTTTCAATTGTTTCATTTAATCAATTATCTTCGATTTCAAAGCCAACCCATTTCAGATCTTCCATTAATTTGGATAATTTGTCTTCTGAGTATTTTTATCATTCTCCCTTTTCTCAAAGTTATTCACAAAAGTCCATGGCAAGTGACTCTTCTGCTCAACCCAAATCAGTCCACGACTTTGTTGTCAAGGTTAGTATTAATCCTCTTTTAATTGTTCTTTTTTTTATTTTTGCAGTTTAATACTGTAATTGTAATTTTGTTTGTTAGATTATCAAAATTCTCAATTTTGCTGTAATTAATTTTATTAATTCTCTGATTATATATGCTGTTTGGTGTTCTGTTTTCAATTTCGTGTTTATTGGATTGATTTTGGCACTATGTCATATGATTTAAATTTTGATCAGCCTGTTTGAAGGAAGAAAAATTGGATTAATTTTGGTGGATTTTTATAGTAATCCGAGGCAAAATTGGGAAAAGGGTAATGTAAAATTGAAATTGGGGCTTTGGTGTTCTGTATTTTTTGCTGATTTAATTTCAAATTTTCAATCATTAATTATCATTTCTGGGCCGATCAATATTACAAGGTTGAGTTTTGATGGTTTTAGTGTTAATTTGAGATGAAGGGTTTGTTGTTAGTATAATTAGCGAAATTTTGTACTCAGTATAAATAGAGATCAAGAATGAATAAATCCATTAAATTTTCCATTGGGTTTTACTAGTCTGGTTGCCTGATAAGAGTTAGGGCTGTTTTCAGTTTTTTCTTTCGGTTGGCAGTGTGCAGGAATTATGGCCGTTTCCGGTTTTTTCTTTCTTTCGGTGGGCAGTGTCACGGTGTGGGTGTTTGCGTGTGTGGTACTGAGGAAACATAGAAGGAGTTTAACGGTTCATGGTTTTTTTACAATAATTTAGTAGGAAATGAAAATTTCGAGTTATGAGAGTAATTTAGTCGGGAATGAAGAATTCGAGTAACATACATGGATTTTGGTTCATGGTGTTATTACAGTAATTTAGTCAAAAATGAAGAATTCAAGTTATTACAGTAATTAATTTGGAAATGAAGAATTCAAGTAACATACTAGGACTTCAATCGGTTCATGGTCTTATTACAGTAATTTAGTCGGAAATGAAGAATTCGGGTAACATACAAGAACTTCAAGCGGTTCATGATCTTATTACAGTATTTTTGTTGGAAATGAAGAATTCGAGTGACATAGATTTTTTGTTGCTTTGATTATTATTAGCTAACGTCATAGTGAGTTTGCATCCATTGGGCCGTGAGGGAAATTTAAAGTCTTTGTTTGCTAAAGTTTCATCTCTGTCCTTGTACTTAGTGAAGACTGTAGGATGACATTGTATATTAAGAGATGCGGAGTGTGGTTTCTTTTTCTATTTGATTTGCTCCTTTAAATTTTAATGTGTCATTGATTTCCTATCCTTTGTTTAAAGGGAAATGAAGATAATTTGCTATAGTCCCTATGAAGTTTTTGACTTTCTAGTTTGACATATTAACTGTTAATATGCAGGATGCTCGTGGAAACGATGTTGATCTTAGCATTTACAAAGGGAAGGTGCTGCTGATTGTCAACGTTGCCTCACAATGGTATGATATGGCTTGAACTCATTTTAGGATGTTTCATTTGTATTTTTTTTTTCTTTTGTTTTTTAATTTATATTTTATTATCCTGGCTTCTATAACTGATGCTTTTATATGACCTAAGCTAGTGTGACAACATTTTATGGACATACCAAAATTACGTATGTAGGATTTTGGGACTTATGTATGGAGGGGATAAATCATAAGGGTTGGAATTAGTGAAGCCATTGTTTTTGAAGTGTAGGGGCATGGCATTAACTTAGTTGGAACTTAGAAGTATATTATGGGACTCCTATTGCTCTGTTTGCCTTCTTTCTTTCAGCTTTTAATTAAAGGATATTGCCGTTGAAACTAGTAGTGATCATTTGGCGGGCTGGGTTGGGCTTAAGACTAAAAAATCAGCGTGTTGATTCGGGCTGGTCCAAGGTTTGGGCCGAAAATCCTACCCAAACCCATAAATTTTGGCTGGGCCTAACAGGCTTTAAAGGCCAGGCCCAAAAAACAAATAAAATGTGTAATATACTTGTCCAAGGCCCACCCAAAAGATAATAATTTGGGGGCTGGGTTGGGCCTAACCCGTACTTCGGGCCCAATTTTTATGTCCATTCCCCCCTCCCCAAAAAAATTGGCCGGGCTGGCGGGGCTCATGTTGATCAGGTCTAGTTGAAATGTATGTTATGTCCTGTTGCTCTGTTTGCCTTCTTTTTTGTAACTATTAATAAAAGGCAAAAACTAATGAGCGCCCCCGGGGCGTTAGATAAGAGAATTGAAAGTGGAAATATTAGAGTAAACCTAACATTAATTACACTGGATGACGCGTGATTTTGTCATGCATTCCTAACTTAATACTATTTTAACCAATATGATTATTCCTTATCTAACGCCCCGGGGCGCTCGTTAGCAAGATCCTTAATAAAAGGATATTGTCGTTACCATTTGTGCTTAACTCAGCTAACTCCTTTTTCTCTATTGGGTGCAGTGGTCTTACCAATTCAAACTACACAGAATTGACTGAATTGTATGAGAAGTACAAGGACCAAGGTAGCTTGTCGCTCTTCCGTTCCTCTTTGTTGGCACTGTTGTATAGAAGTTTGAAATTACATGTGTGCTAAATTGCTGCAGGTTTCGAGATCTTGGCATTTCCGTGTAACCAGTTTGGTAACCAAGAGCCAGGAAGTAATGAGGAGATTGTGCAGTTTGCCTGCACTCGTTTCAAAGCTGAATACCCCATTTTTGACAAGGTATTTTGTTAAATTCTCTATCTATTCTTATGTTAGATAAGTTGTGTTTAGCAACATCATCAATTTAAGTTGTGAAGTCTGGATAGAATGTAAAACCTTCTAAAGGTTCGACAATATCGATCATCAATTGAATTGGCTTTTGTAGCTTTTGTGACTTTTCTTACACAATTTTCACAGGTTGAAGTGAATGGTGGTAATACTGCCCCAATCTACAAGTTCTTGAAATCAAGCAAAGGTGGGTTTTTGGGAAGTGACATTAAGTGGAATTTCTCCAAGTTTCTTGTTGATAAAGATGGTAACGTTGTTGACCGTTATGCACCAACTACTTCCCCGAAGAGCATCGAGGTAAAAAAACTTAGCTTTACTCATTAACGTATCAAGAAAACAACGGGATGTGTATTAGAGTGCTAGTGATAACCGTTTAATCTTTATCTTTTTGCAGAAGGACGTGAAGAAACTGCTGGGCATTGCATAAAAAGTGTAGACTTAAAAGGAGGCAGTTTCGTGTTTCGTTTGTTTTGCTATCACCTGTATTATGTTTTCCGTTATCATAAAGGTGGTTGTTTGGCAATGTACTCTCTGTCAAGCTTCCATAATTTGTTTATGTAAACTGTACTAGAGTTTTTATTCTCCTTTTAATCTACCGCTGAAAAAGGGTCTATGAATCACTTCTTTGCTATACATTATATTTTTCTAGCTCAATGCATCATCACCACGAAAATAGAAGTGCCGAGTGCTATGGTTTCCTTTCTCGTCTTCTAAATAATATGATAGTCTTGATTCAATAAAATTTTAGGATAATTAGTCTTTGATTCAATGACAATTCAGTGTTAGTTAGGTAAAAACCATTTCCAATGCTCTTCCCATTCTACGATTTCTTGGTTCCCTTGGAGAACTAATAAAGCAATTGAAAAATTTGGTAAAAATAATCCTAAATTTCATGCATTTGTTTTAAATAATCTCAAATTTGGACTATTTTATAATAATCCGAACTTTGAGGCGTATTTGCTTTTATTGGTATCAACTGGTCATCTAAGCTGTTACAACAGGTTACTGAATACGTGTCACTATGTGATTGGTATAAAAAAAAAAATTGAATGCCCAGTCAGCCCTACCACCTCCGGCACCCCAACCCCTCGAAACAACCACCCCTCCCCACCGCCGCTCCTCATCCACCACCATGAAACCGCCCCCCTCTCTAGGATACCCCACACCTCCCCTTCCCCTCCTTAGAAGCCCCACCCCTCCTCTTTCCCAAATCCGAAATTGGAAGAAATGATCTCATAAGAAAGCTATTTTCCCTTAAATTTCAACGCCATTGAAGAAAATTGAATGGCACTCAATCACTGTAAGAAGTCTAAGAACTATTAGTAGAAGATTGAGGGTTTTTTTTTTTCAAATCAACGAACTCATAAACACAAATTGTTCTGAAAACTTGATGTACATGTTTTATAGCATATTTTACCCCCGTTCTATAGCTATTTTCGTATGATTTTGAGATCTACGGAGCCATTTCTCGCTAACATTCTCTTCTCTAGTGTGGTTTGGTCTATTTAGTTGATTTTGTAGGCATACGAAGATTTTCGGATGATTTGGACCTGTTTTGGATGGCCACGAGAGCTTGTTAAGATGGAGGAGTGATTTCCCGTGTCCACCCTGGCAGGGCACGAAGGAAGGAGAAGAGAAGAGCGTAGTAGTATTATGAGGTATCTTGCTCCCATCGCCGAGGCAGGGCAGCCAGGTCGAAGAAGATTCATGATGTCATTCGTTTCAAGGGAGACATTTTGGAGCTTGCTATGCGCGCCCGGTAGGGCGCAGATGCCTTGCCAGACCGGGCAGACAAAGTACGATAAAGGAAGACTTTAGAAGAGGCGCGAAATGTGAGAATGCTATGCGCGCCCGACCAGGCAGCGTTGCCGCCCTGGCTGCCTGGGCAATGTGTTGAAGACCTATTTTTCCTACTTTTCCGGGGATTTATTATTTCAAGGGATATAAGTACCCCTTTGTAAACCTCGATTAAGTCACTTAGTTATTATTTTCCAACTTTTAAACATTCATTAGAACCCTAGTTTTTGCTCTAGACCTAGATTAGTTTTCCTGGAGCTTCACTCTTCTCCTGATTATTCCCATTATTATTATTATTGCCTTTCGCTCCAATCTGTTGTGCCCCCTTGTTCCCTGAATAGTTGTTGTTTTTATGAAAATTCCTTTGAGCCCCTCCTTGATTATTGCCCAGCTTGTTTCTATTAGCATCTTTGGAAAATCACTCATACTCCCTATGTCCCAACTTATTGCAAGCACGACAAGTGACTAGGTTACCGTCACAGTCCCTTCCAGGGTGATTATTCTTGCACCTCCTATAGAAATAACGTCTTCCTTCCTTATTATTTCCCTGGTTAGAGTTCTTAGCACCTCTATTAAAGTTTCGTCCACCTTGACGATTATTTCCTTGGAAATTATTGTTGTTGTTGAAGTTTTTGTTATTGTTAAGGTGGTACTTCTTCTTCTTGAAGTTGTTCTGGTTACCATGCGGGTTTCTAGAGTTTTGCCCCCTCTCTCTTCTCTTTTCCTTCCCTTCCACCTCAACTAACTCTTTCTTTTTCTTCAACTCCAACGCATAAAGGTGTGCATCTCTCCCATACACTTCATCCAAGGTTTTTGAACACTTGTCCACATAGCTTTAGCTGAAAATCAGTGGTCAATCCACTCTCAAACTTCCTAGCCTTTGATTTTTCTGTAGTAACAGACTCTTTGGCAAATCGTGACAGCTCAATAAACTTGGCGTAATACTCAGTGACTGACATGTCACCCATTGCTAAGTTAGAGAATTCCTTAGCTTTTTTCCTGTAGGAAATTGGGGTAAAACTTGTCCCTAACCTTTTCTTGAAACATGGTCCAGTTGAACCCATGTAGTGCCTTAATGGCAGCCTCATTTTGTTGCCACCAAAGATCGGCTTCACCCCTGAGGTAAAAGGTAGCACAACCTACTTTCAAATTTTCTGGGCACCCTGTCTTAATGGAGGAGCGTTCAGTTGGAAGAGTGCTAAGCAAAGCATGACTGGAGATTCTACCATTGAAGCCAAATACTTGGCAGCTTCGGAAGCAGCTAAGGAGGTAGTTTGGATTCGTAAGTTCGTTGGTGAACTTGGTGTTGTCCCCTCAATAAAGGGACCAATAGACCTCTACTGTGATAATAGTGGGGCTATTGATCAGGCCAGAGAGCCAAGGGAGCATCAGAAAGTTAAACATGTCATGAGGCGATTTCACATGATAAGGGAATGGAAGTCTGAGGGTGAAATCAGAATTTGCAAGATTGGAATGGACGACAATGTAGCCGATCCACTCACTAAACCTTTGCCTCAAGTGAAACACAACAAGCACGTTGAGGCAATGGGATCTTTTTTACTAGAAACTAAGGCTATTCAAAGCGTGGAATGAGTGGATAATTTTTATAGGAGCGGGACTATTCTTCGCATCGAAAAAATCCCTTTTTGGATAAGTCCGACGACTCAGCAGCAGTGCGGAATTGAATTTCTCGTCCGGTGGATCTGATCTATAGTTAGGGGAGAGATTCCATTTGACTAAAATGTTTATGGGGTATTTTTACCATTCTTGCTCTAGGTCTATCCCTAAAGAGAAAGGACTTTTTTTAGTCTCGTCGAGCCTTTCCCTTAATGGTTAGAGAAAGCATTCTTTTATCTGAACTTGGCGGGCTTCCAGCCTTACTCAAATAGGGAGTGGGTTTGGTTTGCGAGTTCTCCCTCGTATCCGCAGAAGTTAATGCAACTGAACCCTTCGCTACTCCTTTTTGTGTGACTGACCAACCTAGTGAATCTCGAATTTCATATTGAAAAAGGAGGAGGCTATGCTTTTGGTTGTTTACATGCTTAAGCTATGCTTTTGGAAGAGAGTATGGACATGACCTTTTTTAGAAAGGGTACTTTCTTAAAGGATTCCCTGTTCTGTCATAGAGGGGTGTTGCTATAGCTGTCTTTCTTGTAAGTGGTATCAGTAGTAGTATGTTACCGGTTCAACAGGAGTTGGATCCTAAGAAGGAATCAGACATATTGGAGATTGGCTTTGATTTCCCTATTTGTGTGTTTTCATTAAGTTGTGGAGATCTTAATGTAAAACACCTTGTTAAACCATTCACTTATGGAGTAATTTAATTTTTTTTATAAATTATTATTCCATTTCTGTTTAATTATGGTTTAGAATTAAATAATGAGTCCATTCGATTAGAACATCAAAATAGGGTATCAAGACCATGTCTTGGATAAAATAACACCTATTAAGTGAACGTTGAATATCATGTCGAAATTATCCCTAATCGAGGTCATTTGAAAGTTGGACGACTAATGACCGCATGAGATTAGTGTGTAGTATGATTTATAGCACCGTTTCTTGTGCTACAAGGACAAAATTGTCATAAATCATTTGCACAGGTATCAGTTTGGAACTATACCAGATCGACCTATGAGGATACTTTAAGAGATTTAACAATCATCATAAGTATATTACTCATTATGGCTTTCGAAACCTCTTTCCTCAACCATGAGTATTGTTAGTTCTCTTGTTTGAGTACTAGCTTAGTCCGCTTTGGTGTTGTCAAACGTCTGCCGTACAAGGGGATTACAAAGGCAACAGTTGGGCGTCTAGGGCCTCTTAGTAAGGGAAGCTAACAATGCAAGACTGGGAATGTCTCCCTATTAACAGTAGGGAACATGTTTTTGTTGTTAAGAAGGCCTCTCGAAGAGCGAGACTGTTAAAATGTATTGCCGTGCTTAGATGGATTTTAGAAATCATCTGTTTATTACCAGTCGAACTCGGAAATCGAGAAACACTTATGGATGTAATAAGATGATGAAGAATCTTACCATATAGTTCATGAAGAGACATTAAGTGACATAGAAATAGGCTATACACAATTAGCACACTTGTCCGGAAGGACAAGTGGGAGATTGAAAGGAATGGTGTCCTTCTAACAAGAGTATTATTCCGATAGAGTGTTCGGAATTCATTAGAAAGCTAATTATTCAGTAAGGTCAATTGATTGGAATGCCTAGCCGGAGGCCGCTTCCAATTAATAATATTAATGAATAATTAATATTACAGCTTATTCTTAAGTGAACCGTTCGGGTCACACCCAATCATGTAACCGAACCAAAGCGACAAATTAATCCGATTTGATAGAGTTTTTACGAACAAAGACGTCGGATTCCGAGCTTATTGCGTCGAAATCGAGCGTCGTAAGTCGAGTCGAATTTAGGAAACGACGAGATGAAAAATCAGCCAAACGACAAGTCACAACATATAACCCTAGCCTCGGAATGGTCGAGCCATCCGAGAGTTAGGGCAATATGGCTAGCAAGGCTGTCATGCATGCAAGGCATGGTCGCAAGCCCAGTGACAGCATGCGCATGCTGGCTTGGGAGTTGTGGCATGCCGAGCTAGCTAGCATGCTAGAATCGCTGTCTAGCTGGCACATCAAGGCTAGCATCGCTAGCGCGCATGCTAGCACCAGCCCCGCACCATCGCAAGCAAGGCCAGCAACAATAGCTCGCTAGGCCCCGCGCGAGGAAGTAGTACAGCAGCAGCACGCAAGCTAGGCTTGCAGTAGGAGCGCCCAACATGCCCAGCAACAGCCCGCATGCATGCATGGCATGCTTGCTAGGCTACACGCACACGCAGCCATG